AAAAAGTGCCAGTTTTAAGTGACCGTAAGGTCCCTCATTTACGTGACTGGAGATGAATGTGGGAACATGTCCAGATGTTTTGGCTTTGTGATTCAGGCATTTCCTCCTCTATTCTATAGGTAAACAACCAGCATTCCTTGATTTCCTTTCCGATAGGGAGCATTGCTCGTGTTGCTGTTGCTCTTCATACCCTGTTGAATTTACAGAAGAAGAAATAATCTGGTTTTACTCCAAAGAGCATCACCAGAAGGAATGTTTTACCAGGATATTGCTGTATTGCTGAGCAGAGGGAGCTAGTGGGGCCTCAGCTGGGACACTGGCTTTTGTTCTCTGACTGCGTCTGCCTCCACTCCAGCAGCAGCAATGCCTGTAAAACATCTTGAGTATCATGATGAGTATTATGAGAATCAATCTTGAGTGCTTTGTGTTAATTTGCCATCTGGGCTGAAGGGAACCTGCTTGCAAGGCAACAGGAAGGTCCATTTTGGGTGCTGCGTTTGTATTCTTCCAGATTTGTCACTAACAGCTTTTGTACAACCCCATTAGCACAAGCAGTGGGAAAATTGACAGGAACCATGAGGAATGGAGGATTTTCTCAGCTGTGATGCTGAGGGTTTTTCTGAGGCACTTGCCATCGTTTACCTGACTGGAGTCATAGGGCTGAAAGGGATTTCTCTAGGTCACCAAGTCCTGGGTATTGCTGTCATGGGCAACTGCATCCCATTCTTTTGTCCATTAATTTGTCTATCCCGTGCTTACATCTAGTTGAATTATTGTTTAGCTCCACTCCTTGCTTTCTGAGGCTTCTTCCCTTTGATCTCCTTTCTTAGCTCCTATCTTTCTCTCTTGTGCCAGCTCTGATCTTAGCAGACCAATGCCCTAAAGTATGTGGTGCAATCAAAAAAAGCCCTTCTGAATTCTTCCCTGTGACTGAACCACCTGTGACCGTCCTTGCGGCACAGCATGCCAAGCTGTGCTCCTGCCCTCCTTCTCCAGAGACCTGGAGTTCGTGGCTTTGACCATCATCTTCCACACGCCATCCTCTTGCTCCTCCATCCACTCCAGCTCCAGTCAAGTTCATAAACTTCAAGCTGGTGGCTGATTTTCCTCTTGTCAGTTCTTAATAGCATGACCCCCATCATGTACCTCTTCAATGGCTTGATGCTCTCTGAAATCCATGTTCTCTCCCTTTTATACTTCTGTCTGCAGATGGCTCTGTGTACTGTGCCTTCCTTCTACCTGGTGTATTCTCTGCCCGTTGCCTTTATACCCCAGACCTCTCTTGATTTAGTTTTTCTTCCCAGGGACCCAGCTGTTCTCCTCCTCTTTGTTATTCCCAGCCTTCTGTTTCTTCTTGTTCTGCATCACATCAAACCTCTTTGTCAGCTTTTCTTTCGCAGTCGCCGGTGTTTCTCCTTGTCCCTCTTGGGATGCGACCTTTCATGGTCACACTGCTCCCAAATGGTCCCCTTGTTCAGCAGGTCTCAGGGAACGTCACATTGTCTGTGTCATTCGCACTTCATCTCTCTCTGACTGTATGTGAGGATCCCCTGTCTGAACTCTTCTCAGTTCTCTCCAGGTCATTTCTAGAGCTCAGCTCTGCTGTCCGAGTTACTGCAGTTGACTGTGTTGTGCACAGGCACGTCCCCTTTGTTCTTGCATTTCATTGTCTTCATTGTTTTTTCGGAGCTTTGGATTGCGTCCACTGGAAAAGTCCCTTCTGCATTTCCCTCCCCTTCATGCACACACACACCGAAAAATAATAATAGAGGATTAAAAGTCCCACACGTTTCCCCACCTACAAACTCTTTTTCTGCCTCCTTGGCTGCCCACTGCTCACCTTCTCAGTCCATTGCCCAAAATGAGCCCTGCTCTCTCCTTGAAGGCTGGCCATTGAGTATCTGCCAGAAGTAAGGACAGGCAGAAGCCTCTCTCATGTGTGTTTGCAAACTGGGGTCAAACCACTGACTCCACAAACCAAAGGAGCCAGAAGCAGGCAGGCAGAGAGACACATAAGACCCTGCTCCTTCCTCCTCCGGTGGAAATTCCAGCAATCATAGGGTGATGCCTTCTTTAAAATGCTTGGGATCATTCTTGGGGAGCTTGCTAGTGGTTTATGTCCATGTTATTTTCTCTCTGGAGATGTTTTGTGTGCTGGGAGTGACAGATTTACATTATTGGAGAATTACTGTTTCTGGTTTGTCCTATGTTTTATTCATTGCAAACCATTACTTTGATATGGCTGTGATTACGTTACTGGTTGAAAACAGGCCACCTGTGGCATTTTACACCAAATGGCTATAAACCAGTACACCCAGGCAACAAACAGGTCAGCAAAGTCACGCAGATATGGTGCTTGTGCTTCTGGGCTTAAATCTGTGGGTCTCAGCTTATCATGCTGATAAAACAAAGACTTGATTTGTGAGAAGCAGCTTTCTACAGCAACACTGGGTCAGCTCTTACCCCTCAACCTAGTTCCTGTGGGTTAAACATTGAACAGTGAGGAAAAGTTCAGTAGTATCCTGACTGGGTTTATGTACTTGGTTAACTTGAAACTTTGCCGTGATTCCCCTGTAAATGTGAATATTACTGATTATTTAAATGATGGTCATACTCCAAGTCATCTCTAGGGCCGAGGCTGTGTTTCTTGTGAGAAAACTTGGCCTGTCCTTCGAAGGACAGCAGGTTCAAACCAAACAAAAGCAGGTTTCACACAACACAGAAGCTGCCACATGCATTATTACCACAAGGTGCTGTGGAGGCCAGCAGTGTCAACAGGGTTGAAAATAATTGGGGAAATTAATAGAATAAATTGTGGATGGAGTCTCTGAATGCTGAAGCTCTTCAGCTGCAGAGTCTCAAGCAGGGCACCATGGCAGGGCCTCTACCCTTTTACTTTGTGTCTGTGGGTGACTGTGCCTCTATCAGAGCATCACCTCTGTGCTTCAGAAAGGTGGTGGAGATCAGAGTACACAAAAAGGTTGATAGTGACCTGTATGTTGAAGGTGATAGTCCCGTCACCCGAACAGGGTGCAATGAAGTGACCAACATGCTCAGATCTGTAAATGTGCATAGCCAGATGTGCCATCCTCCAACCCTACCTGCCCGTGGGTAATTGAAGTGGAAGGTCTTTGCACGTGTCTCTCCCACCTGGCAAACCACGAGGGTGTGCAAACACATCTACCAGGGCACAATCTATTGAAGCTCCTTACTCAGCTCTGCCTTTCCTTCTCCTGGAGCATCAAACAGCCCCCTCCCCAGAGGTCATGCTGGACCACATGTAGGGCCATTGGTAGTTCTCTGATTTCCCGCAAAGCCTGTGCTTCTCCTGAGGCTTAAGATATTCTATTAATATTTTCATTAATACACATTTTAAAACCTTCATTTATTAATATTTATATATTAATTAAGATATGTTTAATAGGCAGAAGATGTTATCAAGGAGGCATGAAGTTGTAGGCTCACTGGAAAACGCAGAGCAGCTTTTGCACTTAGAAGTTAATCTTCTTCAGGTTGCATGGAGATGAACTCCCAGCGATGCCTGGTCTGTGCTTTGGCATTTGAAGTCGCTCCTGTTACCCATCAGTGATGCTTCATCCGGAACTTCTCTTGGTGGCTGTGGGAGCGCGGGGTGGTGGGGAGGGTGGGGGTTCTGGCAGGAGAGAGGGGTCTTACTGCGGTGAATCAACTGGCATGCCGAGAGCTTTGAAATGCGGATTTGCATCAAATAAAGCTCTCAGGGTTAGTTAAATATTCCTCTAAATATGCAGAGGAATTGAGTTACTGATGCTTGTTATTCTTATCTTACTCTTGGTGTCACAACATCTTTAAGTTCAGTGAAGGTTTCACTTACTAAGACGGTTGTAAAGATTTCACGTTAATTAAGAGGACTCCACTGCAAATCTGAATATGAATGAAGTTTGGCTGCTGCACCCAGGGCAGTGAATGCTGTGGGAAGATCAGACAGTGACAAATGTTGATTAACAATAAAAACACACACACAAAAATAACCCTAAAACAATGCTTCAATCTAGAACCTCTTCTGTGAGAGAGAAAAAGTTAAGTTCCAGTTGCCAGAAGGAAAAAAAAGTAGTTTCTGACTTGAATTTACAGTCAAAGAGGTGAAATTCATCAGGAGCACTGATGAGGGTTATCCTGTGCCACCCGTACGTGGACTCAGCCATAGCACGGTCTCCCTGTCCTTAGGCAGGTGATCCATTTAATGTGGGGGGAATCTTCAGTGGAGGAAGAGAGAAAATCTGGGCTTGATTCTGATCTTGGCTTTGTTGCTTTGGAGAAGGATCATAAAGTCCAGGCAGCCTCCACTGGTGGTGACAGAACCGAGATGAAACTTCACCTAATGGGGATGGTGCGGGCAGTGGTAGGTGTCAGGGGAATGGGGCTTCCAAGGAAGGAGCTCTCGTGCTGCCATGTTTAGAGTGAAGAATGAGACCAGAAATGCTTTTTTTTCCCCAAAAAAAGCTGCTTTTATGAGGGTGTTTTCATACCTGTCAGTGCTGGGAAGAGTGGACCAGTAACAGGTAGCTAGGGCAAGCAGTTGGCACTTGGGATATTTGCATTTCTCTTGCAACTTGATGCAGTTGTTGTTGCCTGAACTATGGTGAGTCCTCTCCTCTTTATGTCTCTGCTCACCTATCTGGAGATAACAACACTTACCTTTGCCTTTGCAAAGCAGTTTGGAGCGATGCAAAGGTACTGCAGAGGTGCAGAGCACCGCTCCACCTTCTAAAGAAGGACTTTGGGGAAGGAAATGGTGATGTATAACATTTTAACCTCACCCAAAATACATTGGACTTGGCTTGTGGAGTGGAAAAGCGAAAATACAACAGCCTAAATAAATAGTATTTGTCCTCTTAAGCAGGGCAAGGGCAGCATGGGAGGCTGTGGGAGGTTTTATTGTTGCTATTTTTTATTCACACTTCCTTGAGCCCAATTCTGGGAATTGTCCTGACTGCTGTTATGTTTGTGGCAATGCGCAGGTTGGCCAGATGCAGCGGGGCATGGAGTGAACAGAAAGAGGTTAAATTGATGGATGACCAACAAGAGCAGGATTGTGCCTCAGAAGACCAAGAAACGATCCTGATTAATGGGGTGAAAGAAAACGGTAAGGAACTTAATTACAGTACATGAGGGAGCAGTGACAACTTGCAGCCAACTTATTTCCCTAATTCTTTCCATGTATTTAATTTTAGCAGTGGGCAGGTATCTCTGCAGCGTGGAGCAGTTCAGTAGATGGGTATTTTCTGCACAGATGTCACTGCAGCTATGAATCTCCACCTTTTTACGTCTTAACAAGTACTGCTTTTGCCCATACATATGCATGGTGGGAAATATTCATGTGCACACGCAGTTTGAATTACAGATTTTAGTTTGGTTTCTTAGGGGAAAGAAGTCATACAAGACTATGCAGCCCTCTGCCTGCTGGGATTTCTTGCCTCTCTTCACAGTTACTTCTGAACCCACTAGCTTATCTCGGCAAAATTTGGCTGAAGGATACTTAGTCCCTACAACCTGGTTTAAAATTAGATTGGGTAGAAGAAACAGACCCAGATTAAGCACCCATGGAAAGGAAAGGCTGCACCTGTGACTCTTCCAGCAGCCAGCCCAAAATACCTAATGTTGCTGTATCTATTTAATTGATTCCATATTTGCTTTCGAAAGCAATAACTAATTTGGAGTAACAGTGCTCTGCTGCCTGAAAACCTGATTGGAATAAATATGCCTCTGAGCAGTTTCTCAAGTCATTTGGACTGTAGTCACCAGCCACAGTAAATTCAGGGGCAGTCCAGCACTGAGGCAGAGCGTGACATTCCCATTCTTCACCATGTTTTTATTTTTATTTTCATGGCTTTTTACATTTTCTATTGCCCTGTAAATCTTGAGAGAGAGAGAAGTTTATTTATATATAAAGGTTTGACCTTACTAGCTATCAAGAACTGTTCTCTGACACAGAATCATAGAATAGTTTGGGTTGGAAAGGACCTGAAGATCATCCAGTTCCAACCCCCCTGCCACAGGCAGGGACACCTCACACTAAACCAGGTCACTCAAGGCTCTGTCCAGCCTGGCCTTAAACACCACCAGAGATGGAGCATTCACAACTTCCCTGGGAACCCATTCCAGTGCCTCACCCCCCTCACAGTAACGAATTTCTTCCTTATATCCAATCTAAACTTCCCCTGTTTAAGTTTTAACCCATTACCCCCTGTCCTGTCACTACAGTCCCTAATGAAGAGTCCCTCCCCAGCATCCCTATAGGCCCCTTTCAGGTACTGGAAGGCTGCTCTGAGGTCTCCACGCAGCCTTCTCTTCTCCAGGCTGAACAGCCCCAACTTTCTCAGCCTGTCTTCATACAGGAGGTGCTCCAGCCCCTGATCATCCTCGTGGCCTCCTCTGGACTTGTTCCAACACTTCCATGTCCTTTTTATGTTGAGGACACCAGAACGGAACATCTTGTATGTTCAAATCCTTCTGTCACTTCAAAACAAGGTGCTTAGAGGCAAATGCTGCTGTTATTCATTACCAAAAACCCTGAGCAACTCCAGACTTGAGGACGCCCATGAGGACACTGCAGCATATGCTGGTGCCAGGTGAAATGTGCACTTGTACTTGCCCCTGCGATGTGATACTGGAGGTAACTGCCATTGTCAGCCCATCTCCTTCATGACTGCACATGGTAAAGCCACAGCTGATGACAGCGGCTGGAGCTGCAAGTAGATTTTCTAGCTGTGGTCCCTTTGTCTAATCTAATAGGCAGTAAATTCAGTGTTCACCTCTTCAGTAAAGATGGGTGATTTCTAGAAACTGATACTGTAGCCATGAAATTCAATTAGAGAGGGCTTTAAAAGTGCTTTAATTAAATATAGTTTCAAGACTGGTTTGGGTTGGAAGGGACCTTAAAGCTCCTCCAGCTCCAACCCCTGCCATGGGCAGGGACACCTTCCACTAGAGCAGCTTGCTCCAAGCCCCTGTGTCCAACCTGGCCTTGAACACTGCCAGGGATGGGGCAGCCACAGCTTCTCTGGGCACCCTGTGCCAGCGCCTCAGCACCCTCACAGGGCAGAACTTCTGCCTAAGAGCTCATCTCCATCTCCCCTCTGGCAGGTTAAACTTCCAGTTTAAGCATGGTTGTGTAGGAGCTGCCCCTGGATCCAAAGCAGTGAGCCACCAAGTAGCACTGATGCCACCACCTCCCTGTTGATGGCCCTGGGGATGGGGCTGATGCTTTTTGCCTCCTCTCACCCTAACCATGAATCTGGTCTGTCTTCAGAGCTGGCTGGCAGCAGACAGCTCAGTAGTTTTCCACTCAGGCTGCCCATGTGCTGTTGAGTTAAACTGAGAAAGGTGGGTTTGTTTCTCCAGCATTTTAACTGTAGCCCTTTGGAGTATTGTTTACTTCGTAGCATCCCCTGAACATGCACCTGATCTTAGCATGATACAAGCCCTAGAAAACCAAGTTTTGGCATTTGTATTCCACAGGAATTAAGTTCACTTACACAAGTATAAACCTAACGAAACACCCAGAGACAGTTTATTTTATATAATAGCATCTCTGCCCATTGAATGCAGCATTTGAGGTTGAATTTCAGCTTTCTGCCTCCCCCTTCTTTGAGTCTTGCGGCATTCACAGACATTCTTCTTTTATCCTCAAATTTTCCATGCTTCCTGTCAGCTCCAAGCTGATTCTTATTTTATTTTACTTCTGAAGTGGAACTGCACTGGTTAATTTGTTTTGGTGCTTAAGGAAAAAGACACCACCTCTGCATTTCTGATCGAAAAACTGGTGGGAGGGACTCAAAAATCAGCTCGTTTTATTTATGTCATTTTTTAACCCTTTTTTTTAAGGGAAACATCACAAACAAGTCAGTCTGGTCTTTTCCAAGTCACTCATGTTGAAGACATGAACTGCACTGCACTGCACTTCTGCTTTGATTTGTATAGTGGTCAGAAAGTTATTTGAAGTCCACAGAGTGCTGCATGGCTCCGACTGCAGCTTGCTTCTACTGGCTTACGACTTAACCAAATGGCTCTGTCCCTAAGGCTCCTGTAGCACAAAACTGCTGGAAGGTTTTGGGATGAGATTAGGGGGATTTTGACCTCCTCTAAGTTTTATGTTTGGCACAGGCAGGCAGCCCTCCATCACATCCTGCTCCTTTTCATGTTGCCCACTTGGAGGCTGGAACCCTGACCAGCACAGTGGGTATTTCGTAGTGCTGGTGTTTCCCTTCCTTTTCTAGCTGTGGTCCCTTTGTCTAATCTAATAGGCAGTAAAGTCAGTGTTTACCTCTTCAGTAAAGATGGGTGATTTCTAGAAACTGATACTGTAGCCAAGAAATTCAGTTAGAGAGGGCTTTAAAAGTGCTTTAATTAAATGTAGTTTCAAGACTGGTTTGGGTTGGAAGGGACCTTAAAGCTCATCCAGTTCCAAACCCCTGCCATGGGGAGGGACACCTTCTACTAGAGCAGGTTGCTCCAAGCCCCTGTGTCCAACCTGGCCTTGAACACTGCCAGGGATGCAGTAAGAGGCTTGCTTTTCTATCAGTTTTGAATAAAAGCAGCCATGTATGTGCCAAATCCCTTTGGATACCCCACTCCTTATGGCAGCCTGGTGCTCCAACTGCCTTTTAAAGGGCTTGTCACTCCTTGAGAAGCCTGTGTTGTTTCTGCTTTTGCCCCCCCCCCCCCCCCCCCCCCCCTTAAAGTGGAGCCACCATAAAGCAACTATATGAGCCACTACAGAAGCATCGGGCTCAGCTCCAAGTCAGCAGAGCTTTATGGCTGGTATGAATGCACACATTGGGGTGTATGTATATCTATATATATTTTTTTAATATATATATTTAATACAGTGATATCAGAGCATGTTTTTGGATGAAAAGACACCATATTTAAATTTCAAGGGTCGTCTCATCCATTGAAGCAGAAGTCAGATAAAAGTATATCCATGACTTTATTCTGCCATAAAAGTGTGCGACGAGGTAAAAATACAAAATCCTTAGGTTGAAAAAACCCATCCTTACATTGTTAAAAAGGCATTTTTAGAGAGTAGGGAAGGATGGCAAAAACCACAATAACTCTAACAACCATTGCTTTAAACTCTGTGGGATTTTCTACTTCCCCTTGGTGTGGACAGTGACAAAAAGACTTTTAAAGCTCCTTAAAAATAGCCATAATTTTTTGCCTCTCAAGCAGGAACGCAGCTCAGGTACATTTCAGCTGCAGACACCACAGGGGGGATGCTTTGTTTCTTTAAGAATCTTATTTTTCCCTTAATTTTTTTCCATGTTAATGGGAACGTTTTTATTAGGCTTGTTTTGTTTTTTAATAACCTTGTCAGATTGGAAAGGCAGTATCCAGGTAACGGTATGTATATGAGGAGGAAAGAACGGATGGGTTTGGTTTGTTAAACATACTCTTGTACCTCTTCCAGCTGGCTGCAGGGGGGGAGTGTTTACCTCTCCCTTCCTTGCACATCACCATGTTAATTACATCCGGAAGGGATCTCGTGGGGCATGTGCACTTCCCAAAGGAGCGGCTGGGAAAGGTCATAGCATGGGAAATGTCATAGCATCCTAGAATGGGTTGGGAGGGACATTAAAGCTCATCCAGTTCCAAGATCCTGCTATGGGCAGGGACACCTTCTACTAGAGCAGGTTGCTTCAAGCCCCATGCAACTCTGCCTTGAACACTGCCAGTGATGGAGCAGCCACAGCTTCTCTGGGCAACCTGTGCCAGTAAAGACTACTAAATAACACCCTCATAGTAAAGAATTTCTTCCTTATATCTAACCTAAATCTCCCCTGTTTCAGTTTAAACCCATCATTTTTTGTCCTGTCACTACAGACCCGATGAAGAGTCCCTCTCCAGCATCCTTGTAGGCCCCCTTCAGATACTGGAAGCTGCTCAGAGGTCTGAATGCAGCCTTCTCTTCTCCAGGCTGAACAGCCCCAGTTTTCTCAGCCTGTCTTCATACAGGAGGTGCTCCGGTACCCTGATCATCCTCATCTGGGCTTGCTCCAACAGCTCCATGTCCTTCTTACGTTGGAGACACCAGAACTGCACACAGTGCTCCAAGTGGGGTATCTAAGCAGAACAGAGTAGAGGCGCAGGATCACCTCCTTTGACCTGATCATGCTCCCTTTGATCACCACCAGACCCTAGGGAGAAAGGGAGCGGGGCACTGAGCCCAAGCAGAGCTGCGAGGTTGTTAAATCCTCTTTTTCTTTGTTTCTTCCCTCCCTTGTCCTTACCCTTCCAGAGTCGCACGCCCTGGACGGCGATGAGAGGCCTTGCACCGCCACCGACGCCGCGGTCACGTTCTCAGCCTTGACGACAGCTCAGAAGGAAAACCACGCGTGCCACCGGGCGCTGCCTCCCCTGACGTCCAAGAAGCCCTGCTTGCTGAGCCCCCCGTCGCCGCTGCGGCTCACGGATGTCCCTGAGCACGCCTCGGATGACTCCTCTGCCCACGCCATCTCCCTCACGTCCTGCGTGACGAAGGGCATGAGCTCCTGGTCACTGCCGGGTGACTGCGAGAAGGCTCCTTTCACCATGATGGAGCCTGGAGGCATGTCAGCGTTGACGGGTGACTGCTTGATGCAGCCGAGCCGGACCTGTCTGGGCTGCTTTATTGAATCAAAGGACGGCATTGATGCAGAGCCGGGAATAAGCTTGAAAGTGGGGGATATAAATAGGGATTATGACACCTGTTCAGTCTCTGATATAGGGATTCACTGCATGAGCACAGGAGAAACCATGAGATATGGGGATCAACTGCTTTCAGACCAGCTTTTAAGCTTCCCTATGCATAAATCGAGGGCAGCGGACAAAAGAGATGCAGAAAAATCTGACAGTGATTCAGAGGACCCCACTCAGAAAAATTATTACGAGGGATTACTATTAGACAAATGCAATGGTGAGGAACCTTTACTAACAAATCCCAACCAGGAATGGGGCTATTTTGAATCTTTCATTAGTGAAAGTAAAATTGAGCTGCTTGACCTCTGCTCCAAAAATGAGCTTTCTGTAAATCTGTTTTCTGAGGAAGACGTGGATAATTACATGTTCGATGACGACGATTCTACCTTGGGAAGCGATGTCTGCTCCCTAAAGATTAGATATGAATCTTTCCAGGACAACGTGCGGGAGAAGACCACCACCCTACAGGAGGACGCCCAGTTCAACTTCTTCCCCAGCGTGTTTGGGAACTGCACCAAAAGGGACAGCAGGAGCACCCTGAAAAGGGGGCCCAGCGGTGCCACCGACCCTTCGCAATTCAAGTCTGAAGAAGGCATCATCTGGGGGGAGGAGGAGGAGGATGGTGAGGAAGAGGATGGCGAGGAGGAGGAGAAAGCTGCCTTAAATAAATCTTGCAACAGCACGGAGATGGTGCAGTACGTGGGCTCCAAGAGGAGCCACTTCTTGGACTCGGTGAATTCCACGGAAGACTCCGGGGAGTTCAGTGACGACAGTACTTGCACAGAGTCCTCCTACGACGTGCTGCGGGATATCAAGGACTGCAGCCGGTACCTGTCCCGGGACCACTCTGGCTCCTTCATTCAGCAGAACTATGGGTTGCGGGCTAAGAGGAAAGTGCGATACAGCGATGACTACCTGTACGATGTGGACTCCATCGAGAATGAGAAGATCCTGGATAAGAAGGAGTGGCTCCCTGATGGGCCCAAGGAAGAGGATGATGATGAGTGGTGCCCCAAGAAACGGCGAAAAGTCTCTCGCAAGGAGCCCCCCGTTATCATCAAGTACATCATCATTAACAGGTTTAAAGGGGAGAAGCATATGCTGGTGAAGCTCAGCAAAGTGGATGCCAATGAGACAACTGTTACCCTAAACGAGGAGCTGCTCAGCAAATACAAGAAGCTGGCCCCACTGAAGGGCTTCTGGCAAGAGAGGCAGCAGAGCCGGCTGGATTTGCTCAGATCGTCTCTCTACCACAAGCAGAATTTCTATCTTAACGGCTCAGATGCTTCATTCCTCCCTCACCCACGGAAGCGAAAATGCAAGCTAGCAAACAGGCACCGGATTCAAAGAATTAAAGCCATCGAGCAGTCAGTGAACAAGCTGGGCTCTTGCTCCTCTGATCACAAGCAGCCTTGCAGCAGTAAAGAGGACGCAGGCCTGAAAGGGCTGCCAACGTTGGCCATCGCTACCCCCAGCTGTGCCAATGGATTGCACGTACATGACATCCCGGGCATCACTGCCGTGAAATGCAAATCCCAGGAACGGGAGCACAAGGGGACGGAGAGGAAAGTGCTCCGCAGAATCAAATTCAAAAGTGAAGCCAGGTTGAAGTGCAAGAAGATCAAAGCTGCTACCAGCACGGCGGAGGGTTCCCCGGCGCTGGAAAACCAGGACTCTGCAGCGCGTCTGAAGGACGAAAACATACCCTGTGCTTCAGACAGCTCACATCTCCCGGAGTGCCACGAGGATAAGGTTGCTAAAAATTCTCCTTTCCTACCATCCACCTCCTCTTCAGACAAGCCTCTGCCATCTGCTAATATCACCACCAATGTACCCCTGATCCCCGGAGGGTATCTGCAGACGTTGTTAGATGCTTCTGATTTGTCAAGCAACACCGGTATCTCATACTTCACCCAGCATCCCTCCGAGCAGCAGCAGCAGCAGCACTCGCTCCCCAGCATCGTCCCAGCAGAAAAGCCCTTCCCGGCTCTGCAGCCAGCGCAGAGCTGTGTGCTCTCCCCGCCCTCCGAGTCGGAGCTGCAGCAGTCTCCTGGCCACTTGGAGATGGAGCAGAGCAGCTTCAGTAGCATGTGGCCGGCCAGCAAAGCTGCTGGCAGCAACCACCAGGACTTCCCCGGAGACATGCAGGAGGCGGCCGGGCTGCCGAGCGAGTTTGGCAGCGGCGGCAGTGCCACGGGTGCCGACGGCCTCCCTGCCTCTGGATACACTCAAGTCACTCTGAACAACGGCAAATTGCTTTACCAAAAAAATTACATGCCGGATAACCAACAAGTGCAGTCTGATGATTCCTATCAGTCATGTCATTTTAATAATGGAGAGGGGCGCTTTCATTTCCAGCGAGGTACACTAAGTACAGATGATGGCAGGCTCATTAGTTTTGATTCAGTGGGTTCATTGTCAGTTAGTTCAAGCAATTACAGTTCTTTAAGTTTAAAGTCTTGCGAGAAGGATGGCGAGGATGATATTAATGATGATTTCTTGGCCCACTGCAGTCCCAAGCTAGTGATCCAGCAAAGCATAGATGAAATCAGCCCATTGAAGGAGTCCACGGACCTTTTAGACATCTCCAACTTCACGCCTGATAGATTCCGCCAGTCGTCGCTTTCGGAGATGTCCCCTCCGGACACCCCCAACCTGTCCCCGCAGATAGCTGGCTCCGACACCAAGCCTCTGGGCACCCTGAAGGGCTTTCAAGAGAACCCCCAGGCTGCCCTCAACAGCTCCGAGAAGGTCAAGTGGAACTGTGGGGTCCTGCAGAGCGAGGATCAGGCAGATAATGGGTTTGCTTTAAATAATCACCAGTTCCAGTTCCATATGTTCAACGATGAAGATTCTGTCAGCCTTCTCGAAAAGAGTCCATGCTTGTCAACATTTAATGAGCCATCTGGTCAAATTAGCACCAATAGCAAAGTGTCAAAATCGAAGAGGAAAAGTTCATCCAGCAAGAATGTGGGTACAAACCAAAGCTCTTCCCCGAAAGCCACCCGGAAAAAATCGCCCAAAACCAACAAAGGAACTGATAAACCGCCAGGGAAAAACTCCAGGCAAGCTCCCAAATCCACCAGAAAAGGGAAGAATGCGGTGGGAGTCAATGCTGAGAAGGCTCCGGCTGTTGGCAGCAGGGTGGTCAACCAGCTGAGCAACATGGCCACTGCCACCAAGGGCCTTGCCGAGAGCTCTCAGCACTGCAGCCCAGCCGGGGTGAAACTGGGCAAGCACAATGGGCTGTCTGGAGAGTGGGCGCTGGGAAAAGAGGGGAGCACAGGCTGGTCAGAAGCCAGCTTGGGCAATGCCACCAGCCTCCTGGACGACGATCAGAGGGAGTTTGAAGAACCTTCCAACATCCTGTCCAACATCGCGTCGGGAATGGCAGATGTCCAGCGGTTTATGATGGCCTCCATTGAGCCCTTGTGGGGGCCTGTTAGCCACAACAGTGTTCCAGACATATTCCGGTCACCGGAATCCAACAGCCTGAAACTGAAAACTCTTAAGATTTTGGCAGGGACATCCCAAGAGTCAAAGAAGAAGGCGAATGGTGGCTCACCACCCGCAGCCAAGAACCACAAGTCAACCAACAAGGGCTCAAGCAAAAACGGCAAAGCAGCAACCTGCGATCCCGGTCGTCCCAACTGCTCAACCGGGTTCACCACGGACATTCCCACTCCCTTTTTTGATAAAAACTATAGTAACCTGAGCACTTTAGGCAATAACGGACCTACCCATAAAAAACTCTACCGTCACAAATCCAGTTCGAAATCGCTGCGGGATGAGAACTGTAAAATCAAGCGAATGGACCGCGAACAGCCCCACAAGGACCCACCCGTGACAGCTGCTTTTGAGAAACTGAGGTAATGCTGCACCAAACTGGCTGGAATGCCCCTTAACCTCCTTCCCACCTGCTAGGCTGCTCCTCAGTTTTTCCTTCCTTGAAAGCAAAAGTTGCATGAAAAAAAAAACAAACACAAAAAAAGACATTCCCCTTTTTTATCGTTTTGGTTTTGGGGTTGGTTTTGGGGTTTCTTTTGGTTGGGTTGGTTTGGTTTTTCCTTTTGAAATGCATGAAATACTTCTTACTTGCAAGCTACCTAAAGAATGACCAATTTTCTGGCTTGGCTGGGGGTGAAAACAAAACTAACAAGGCTACTCTTTCCTGCTGTTTGGCTTCTTCGGTTTTTAATTCCTTATTTATTGGGGGAAAAACGAAACAAACCACAATTTCACGCTGTTTTTAATGATTTTGGAAAGACTTTTTTTTTCTTTTTTTTTTTTTTTGAACATTTTGTAAGAAAAAGATTAAAAACAAATCACAAAAAAATTTAAAAAAAAAAAGAGGTTATGCATCCAAAAGCCAAGATCTCAAAACTTAAAAGGCTCTTTTCCTTTGCAAATGAGAACTCGCTCCTAATTGAGCTTCACGTGGCAATTTTTGAGTGCTTTCTGGCCCCCTCTGCTGTTTTATCTCCTAACCTGCATCATCTAAAGCTGCATCTTCTCCACCCGCCCGCCTTTAGCGCGTTCCCTCCGTCGTGGTGGTGACTCCAGACGAGCTAACTTGAGATGGCATCAAATGTTTGATTTTTTTCCTGCAGGGAATCAGACTCCATTCTTCTTAAAGCAGAAACAACACTTTTGGGTTTTCCTGTATTTGAAGAAGAGACTCCCTTTTCTAGAAAGACGGTCGATGTTTGTTTCCTTTTGGTTTCTTTTTGGGTTGGGTTTACTTTTTGTTTTCCCATCGGTTCCTTTCTGAAATCTGCCTTGTGGTACGTTGAAATGTAAGTGCTGAAATGAAGAGTTTGAAATTGTGGGAATTTTATTCTTTGAAAGCGAAACCTAATCTGGTATTCTCTGTGAAAGACTGTTTTAAAAGTCATACTGTTGTACAGTAGTTTATGCACTATTACCCACAACAACAAAACAATTGTGCCAAACTATGAACAAGTGACTGTATTGTATATATTTTTACTTCTCTATCAACATTGGGTTGTGAGTGTTTTCTGCAGCTATGCCTTTTGGTTTTACTAGAAACATTCCAGTTGTTAAGTACTAACCACCCCCCTTTGAAAGCACCTGTAACTCACGAGGAAAACGATGTTGTTCACTTCTACAACTTACCAAAAGTTTTATGGACATGACTAAAAGTGTGCCAAATTTACTTACCTCATTTCATGGATTCACCCTGTGGTTTAAAGCTCATAAAGGGAAAAAACAAAAAAAAAAAACAAAAAAAAGAAAAAGGAAAAAAAAAACAAAAAAAAAAGGAAAAGAACGGGGGGGGAGGGGGAAGGAAAAAGGAACTTTGAAACCGATGCTGGGAAATGGTAACGTCCTCTCTTTGAAACCGTGAGCAGAACAACTTCATGGTGAAGTGTTGAGTTTCAGTATAGGAGAGAGCTGAAATGGTGGAGGAGTTCAGAAACCCACTGACACGGTAAGTTTGCCAGGAACTCAAGTGTCTGCATCTAGAGACTACAGAACAGCTAGCTGCTTTTCAAGTGTCTGTTTTCTTAAAGCAAAACCTGTAGCTGAAGATCATTTGAAATGCAAAGTTACATTGCTAATTCTTTGTATCTCAGTTTTATATATTTTATAAGAACCTGGGATGAATTCTAAAAGAGTTATAAAAACAGAACTAATACGTTTCGTACCTTTACTGCTATTTACTTTTCCTTTGAGTAGTTTCTTGAACATTTTCGATGCAGAGCCTGTCCAAAGCGCTCTCCTTGTCATAGCTTTGGTGTTTCCTACATGTCTAACCTTGCGATGCCAATATAGTTTGAACTGTCAACAGCTAAGTCATTAGTTTTAAACACAACTCGGACCCTTTTCTTTGATTCAGTTCATAGGATCATAAAAACAAACGGAGCTATTTGTGAAGTCACCGATCAGGGCCGGATCATACATGACTGGACTTTATCAAGACAGCATTAAGGATTGAATGCTAAATGTATTCTCAAAAGGCCTTATTTGTAACCCTACTCACCACACCCTCACCCTCCACCACAATAACAAACCCAACAAGTATCTCTTTTCCTTGTGCAACTGAGAGCCTGTGCATTTTGCTGCTGATTTCTTATGAAACCTTGATATGCAAGAGCCCTGCTAACTGGGAGCTGTTGGGAGCAGAAGGACATGAGGCTTGGACATGTTTATGCAATAGGAAATTATGAGAAAGAGGAGCCTTAATAGCAGTCAGACAGGTCATGTTCTTGACCTGATCGTGAGCACAGGACTACACTTGGGTTTCCTTACAAGTAGGTTTTTTTCAGCCCAGGTGCAAGGCAAAACTGCAGAGTAGTTGTAAGTTAATTTGGCAAAACAGCAGAGTGAACACTTAGAGCTGAAGTGGAGCTGCAGAGTGTCGATTTGGAATCAAAATGTTTTCAGCATTTGCAGATCTCCAGCTACAGCTTAGGCTCAGCTCTGAATCCCGCAGAGAACAGCAAGGTAATTGCATTGCATTTTGCTTAACAGATGAAGGAAGGAACTCTGAACAAAACAGGAATTCTGAAAACCATCCTCTGAGTTCATTTATGCCATGAAAAATGCAATGCTGGTGTTGTCCGGAGCAAGTTGCTCTGGATGAGTGCGGTCCCTGGGTACCCTGCAGGGTGCAGCATCCCATCCCAGCTCTGGCTCCCAGAAGTTGATCCAGAGGATGCTCAGGCTTTAATTAGGAGCTGTGCTAGAGCTCCATCCCTGGGTATTAGGCTCACCTGCAGCCACCACCCTCTCCCCTGCTACTCCAGTATCTGTCTTTTCTGTTTGTATGGTCATCAGGTGCTACAATCTCCAGCCACTGCCATGGTGTTGATGTATCCCGTTTTTTCAGCATTCCTCCTGCAGGCTGCAGCTCCCATGGAGACAGGTCAGGTCCAGGGCTGGGATATGGCATGGCTCTTCTTTTTGACCAGAACCATCGTTTGCAAGCACATTTCAAGTGGCCTGCACTGTGCTCGTTATGCTTAATATTATGAATATAGGACTCATTGTAATAAGATACCCTGTACTGAAACAGGTAGCAATATTTATTGCTTGTGAGAGATGTTCAATAGGGCATGAAGATAAGGCATGAAACATATCAGCTGTTTTATTATATGTTAGAAATCCATGAATACCCAGCTAGGTGTTTCAGGACGCTGTTAATCACAAATACCAGCTGCCTTGTTGCTCTCTGCTTCAGTCCTTCTGTCTTTGGTGGTCATTCCTTGTCCTCCCATAAAATCTCTGACTGGGAAGATATTCATGAGCCTGGTTTCCTTGTGTGGCACTGGCCCTTCTCTATGGCTGAAAATGTGATCTCTGCTGACTGACCTCCAAATTTGGACCATTTGTCCTCCTCCCTTTTGATCTTGATAGAATCACAGAATGGTTTGGGTTGGAAGGAGCCTTTAATGGTCCCTGGCATGAGCAGGGATGTCTTCAACTAGATCAGATTGCTTAGAGCCCTGTGTAACTTGGCCTTGAATGTTTCCAGGGATGGGGCATCTGTCATCTCTCTGGGCAACCTGTGCCAGCATTTCACCACCCTCATCATTACAGATTTCTTCCTGACATCCTTCTCCACAGAGCTGCTCTCAATCCCTTCACCCCCAGCCTGTGTAGATACTGGGGGTTTCTCCAACCAAAATGCAGGACCCTGCACTCGGCCTTGTTGAGTCTCATGAGGTTTGCATGGTCCCACCTCTCAAGCTTGTCCAGGTCCCTCTGGATGGCATCGTGTCCCTCAGGCATTTCAACCACACTACTCAGCTTGGTGTCATTTGCTGAGATTGTGCTCAACCCCACTGTGTTACTGATGAAGATACTAAACAGCGCTGGTCCCAGTATGGACCCCTGAGGGACACCACTTATCACCCATCACCATCCAGACATTGAGCTGTTGACTACTACCCTCTGGATGTGGCATCATCCATCCTCATCCACTGAACAGTCCATCCATCAGATCCATCTCTCCCATTTAGGAAGAAGGATGCTTTAGGGGATCATGTCAAAAGCCTTACAGAAGTCACAGAATCAGAATCACAGAATCATTCCATAGTTGACATCTGTAGCTCATCCCTTCTCCACTCATGTAGTCACTCCTCATAGAAGGCCACTGGGTTGGTCAGGCAGGACCTGCCTTTGGTGAAAGCCCTTTCTATTATTCTGTGCATCCCTTGCCAAGTCCAGCTCCAGCCGCTCCTTGGCCTTCCCAACGCCATCCCTATACAACCAGGCAACATTCCTGTACTCTTCCCAGGACACCTGCCCCTGCTTCTACTGCCTGTGCGTTTCCTTCTTGCCCTTTACTCTGACCAGTGGGTCTCAACTCAGCCAGGCCATCCTCTTGCCTTCCTTTCCTGATTTCTTATACCTGGGGATCAAGAGTTCTTGTGCTCTATGGAAAGCATCCTTAAAGATCTGCCAGCTCTGCTCTGCTCCCCTGTCCCTGCAGGCAGTTCCCTTGGGGGGGTCTATTGACCAACTCCTTGAAGAGCTGCAAGTTTGCTTTCCTAAAATTTATCTCCACTTGCCTATCACTACCTCAAGGTTTTCATCACTCCCCACTCTTGCTCCACTCTTTGCCATCCCACCTCTCTTTCTCCGCTTGCCCTTCTTGTCAGTATTGGTGAGATTTTGTTTTTTATGGCACAGTTCCCAGCTGTGGGAGGACCAGGACATGGGTTCCATCCATCCCTGCCCACCATCCACGCACTCCGGGGCTCCCCGTGTTGGCTCCCATCTCAGCTCATCCTCCAGCTCAGTCCTGTTGCACTTACAGCCTCCTCTTGCATCTTCTTCTTGGGCTCCTGCCTCTTTGGGACAACTAATCCAAGCCAGGTAAAAGACTTTTATTCTGCAGCATCCACTGAAATGTCTTTTCTACTTTTTCTTGTCTCACTCCTACTCTAGAGGCGTCCCACTGGGCGCTGTATGACAGGACCAGTGTCAGTGATGCTGCTCTCCTAAAGCTTCACTGTGCTGGCACACTGTGGCTTGGGCAACCTATAATTGGCAATGAAATTAGGAAGGGAAAACCAGCCACTTGCAAAGGAAGGTCATAAAATCCATCTGAGAGGAGAACAACGTGGAGCACTTCTTGTGTCTCTTGCTCCACCTCCTGAAGGAGTCCTGTGGAATGGGAGCATGGGTCTCTCTGCAGTGACTGCGCCATGCAGGGGATGTCCTGCAGAAAGAAACCCTACAGCAACCTAGCAGTAGCCAGCCCACCCCCAGTGACCATCGATTGCTGGAGGTACTTGCATACAGAGGTTTTGTAAATAGAAAAATAATCAATGATGGGGATTCAAGTAATAGGTTTTTATAAAAGAAAAAAAAAAGCCTCTTTTCCAGGTTTACATCTTGCTTTTC